CTTATATCTGCACAATTCAATCTAGCAACAACTTTTGAATTTCACTCATTCTATACATAAACTGTTAACAATATATCCTTTTAAAAGAAAAGAAAATATTTAAAAAAAAAATCTTTTTCCTTCGAAATTTCAAGTACTAGCAATTGGCAAAAATGTCAACAAGCATTTATGAATGATATTATTTTCTTTGTGAATGCAAGTAATAAATGAAATTGGGTATCAAATGCGAATTGTATTTTTGCACACCGATTTCATGAACAGATAATAAATCAGAAGTTTCTTCATCTTTGACTAGACTGGAGTTTTTAATGAACATTTTTAAAGATGTAATATTTGTCATTTAACAAGTATCATCAAACCTTGTTCTGTAGAACTCAGTGGGGATGAGATATCAAAGGACTAAAATTATTGAGGTCAAAATACAGGTAAAAGAAAAGTGTTCTAAACTTCCAAATGACTTTGACATCACAATGGTATTTGAAAAATCCATGATCCAGCCAACGTCAAACTTATGAGCTGCTAAGCTATCACATATGATGTATACCTAATATTTTCTTTCCTGATATTTCATGATTGCAAGTTGCAATTCTAAACAAAAAGAGAGAAAAACTTAATAAAGAAACTAAGCATAAATAACAAAAGCATTTTGATTTACAGGAAGAAAAATAATTAGTTGTGCACATTAGAACCTCTAGATCAGTCAACATGCATGTACTGTGCAAATAGGATATAAATGCATTTCATCATGAATGCCATCAGATATACTGCAGTATTAAGTTAATTTTCTACTTTGAAAATAAGCACAACCAAGAGAAAATATACATGTAAATTAGCAAGACATATTTTGCAAGTCATATGAATATAACAACGAAAAATATACATAGATGTCAAGCATATTTCATTTAACTTTGACCCAACCTGTGAGCTATCTTGTAGTAAAAATGATTTAATATTGGGTATATGTAAATTTCATTTTAGAAGTAAATCAAAACAAAGCTTATACCTGTTGATTAGCCCTTTCAATAAACAAATCCTCATTTTACTTATGGCAATTAAGCAGGATTTGACATTTTTATGTAATTACATGTTTTCACCATTTAAGTTTGAGTTAAACTTTTTCAACATGACCTTTACTTGTGACCTTCATGATTTCAGAGCCTCTTCAATAACAAATTTGGGGAAAAGGAGAAACATCTAGAGATATCTAAATTTAGAGTATTAAGGATTTCCGAATACAATGAAATGAAAATAAAAAGAAAAGCACGAGTCGTTTTTTTTTTTTAAAATTCTGGGGGGGGTGGAATGTGGAAATAATTAGGGGCAGATCCAGCATTTGTGACATTAATTGAAAAAAGAACAAAAAAAAAATGTGAATGTCGAATTATTTTACATAGTAAGCTCAAAAGGCAATCCAAAAAATCCATTTAATTTGCTACATTCAAATTACCGTAAACAAAAATGCAGAATTATGACTTCGAAAAAGAAGTATATTTACAGCATCTTTAATTTTTTTTTAAAATAACCTTTTCGAAAGTAAAATTACTTGTACTTAATGCTGCCTTTTGATATCCTGATTTTAACAGTAAAAAAGAAGCAAGAGGATTAAAAAAAAAAAATCTGAATTTTTTCAATCATTATCAGGCGCGTAGCTGCCTATACGCAAGTACGCAAGTGCGTACACATCATTTTCAAAAAAAAAAAGAAAAAAAAGAAGAGAAAGAAAGAAAAAAGAATAAAAAAGAAAGAGATTTATTCGGAGAAAAAGAGGCACTATATCTGTCTTTCAAATTATTTTACGTCTTATTGTTTCTATTCAAATTTTGTTCAGAATATTGTTAAAATCCAGTCTTTTATAAAATGAAATCCAAAATTCTTTCAGCAAGAAAATATTGTTGCACCAAAATTTTCAACTGTTAATCCGCGTAATCCTGATTATCCGGACAAATACACGTATATATTTGATGAAGGAAAGCGATCTAAGTGACATTGATCTAAAGAAAAAGTTACAAGGGTTTTGGACAACTATACAAGAAATTCCGTTGAAGTAATGAATAGATATCGATAAACAAAAAAAAAAAAAAATGGCAAAATTCAAATTACTAACAAAGTATATATAAAAATATAGATCATTTATGAATATCTTCTTTTACTGATGTTACCAATTTATAGAATTTAAGTACTCTCACATTGTTTAAGCTATCAGAACATAAAGGTTATCAAAAGACCCATATCCCCGTTTACTAGTATATTTTGAAATACTTTAACTCCAATGATAACTTATTGAATTACTTCTCTGTTTTATCTTGTCACACTTGGAAACTTTTTTCCAATACCAATATATTTGTTAATTAATTTGATCAAATTATCCTTCTCCTCCTGAAGTATCCATGGAAGTATAATTTAGCTAAGTGTTTGTTTGAGAAAAGAGATGTAGCGTGATTTCTTTTAAAGGAAAATGACTGAATAATTTCGTAAAATCCAATTTTCGCCCCCTAAATATAACCAGGGCTTCGCACTGGACCCACTGGGGGCCTCAGGGCGGCCCCCAGACCCCCGACCATTTTCTGCGTACACTTCATTTCGATGCTGGCTACGCGCCTGATTATATAGGCCTTCTGTTATAAGTTGCTTGAAGAAAGGGGAAAAAAGCTAATAAAAATTAAGGATAACAGAAAATTAAAACAGGAATCCTGATGTAACATTCAAAGACAAAAACTGCAAGTTAAAACGGCAAGGTAGGTATATATCTCATACAAAAATACAATTAAAAATCTGATGTACTCTCAGTACATTTCAAACATAATCCCCCTTTCTAAAACTCAGTCATGTAAAAGATCATCTTTAAACACATTGTAAAACCTAACATTATAAAATTAAATCCAACACAAACTGAAAATTAGCCTATTCTGACAAAGAAAAGCGATCTTTTGATTTCTTCAAAGAAAACTGTCCTCCTTTAAAGGGTTGGATCTTGTAAAAATGGTCACTTTTTCCATGTGTCAAGTATGCTCAACACACTCAGATCATTCAGGAGGGTGTCCCTGGAAAGAATCAAGCAAAGGATAGAAATAAACAGGCATGCAAAATAAAAGAAAGAAGAAAACAGTGCTCTAAAAAATTCCCCTACTGCAACCACACTGAAGCCCAAAATAAAATTCATTTTATCTAAACCATTGAGGCAAAATTAAACTGCTGAAAAAATTTGTATTATTAAAAATAAAGATTTTAAATATGACTTCATGCAAAATTAAAATTGTGCTACTACAAGTACAATGTATATTGCTTCTTTAATGTGTATCTAAGACCTAGAAGCAAAGTAAAACTTTGCACCCTCTAAACATGCAAAGAAACTGAAAAACGTGGTTGGAAAGTCTTTTAACATATAGACAAAGCCATGCTTATCTGTTCTAGAGTTCATATGATCTACAATGTATTATTGCTCATTTCTTAGAATAAAACAAAAAATTGTCCAGTTTGATTAGATTTTATTCAAACTATGAAATGTATGTACACAAATTCAGAACTGTACAGGATTTAATCTGCATTGATTTGTATAACAAGGTACATCAGATGTCAGGAAAAAACTATCATCCATAGGTAACTATCATATCACAGTGAAGAAAATATTCTCAAATCTTCATTGTCTTCATAAATATACAGAGGCATTCACTTCAAAACTTTTTTTTTAATAAAAGACCTTGTTAAAGGTGCCTGTAATGTTTATCTATGATTACGGGAAATAAATATTTAGAATAAATAAAAATTTTTGACAATAATCACGATAACCCTTTACTAAAAAAGAAAATTTCATGTAGGTATATAAATATGCAATGTTTCCTTTTGAAGGCCCTAACATGTGCAAAATTATTTTTCATTCAACAACTTACAAGAAATCACTTTTCACTTACAAATCAGCTTATCTGCTTATTGAGACAAATTAGCAGGAATTTTAATTCCATAATAATAAGGTTTAAAAAAAAAAATACTACTATCATAAAATTACTTCCCCAAAAAGGAAAATACTAAACCAACAAGAGATGTTTGTAAAACACTTATGCCCCCCTCCCCCCAAATTGGAATTTTTCCAAGTCCAAAAGGGCATAGCTCTGTCAAAAATGGTGTGATTGTACATGTACCCAAAACAGAACTTGACCAAGATAGTCATCTGATAAATCTGTATACCAAATTTCATTTTAGTATGTGCAACCTCTGCAAAGATTGATTGATTGATTGTATACTGTTTAACGTCCCTCTCCAGAAAATGTAAGGAAACTGCAAATAATTGAAATTTTTTCTTAGTCACAGGGGGCATAACTCTGTCAAAAATGGTGCAATGGTACCCAAAACTTAATTTAATCTAGAAATTCATCTGATAAATCTGTACACTAAATGTGATCTCAGTATGTGCAACGGTTGTGAAGAAAATGAACAGAAACTTCAAATAATTGGAATTTTTCTATGTCCAAGGGGCATATCTCTATCAAAAATGGTGCAATGGTACCCAAAATAAAACTTGAACTAGATATTCCTCTGATAAATCTGTACGCTAAATTTCATTTCAGTATGTGCAACGGTTGCAAAGGAAATGAATGGAAACTGCAAATAATTGAAATTTTTCTAAGTTCAGGGGGCATAACTCTGTCAAAATTGGTGCGATTGTACCCAAAACAGAACTCGACCTAGATATTCATGTGATATATCTGTATACCAAATTTCATTTCAGTATGTACAACGGTTGCGAAGAAAATGAACGGAAACTGCAAATAATTGAAATTTTTCTAAGTTCAGGGGGCATAACTCTGATAAAAATGGTGCGATCGTACCCATAACAGAACTCGACCTAGATATTCATGTGATATATCTGCATACCAAATTGCATATCAGTATGTACAACGGTTGCGAAGAAAATGAACGGAAACTAAGTGGACCGACAGACCGACGGACCGACAGACAGCAGCAAAGCAATATGCCCTCCCTTCTTCGAAGGGGGGCATAAAAATAAAACATTTGGAATAAAATTACTCAGCTACTTGCATATATTCAAGTTGACAGTTTCATAATGAATTTCCCCAGTCATCTCCCTTGGTAAGATGAATGAATAAAATCAAAAGGTCAAAAGTCAGAGGTTATAACCTTCATCTATTATGACAATAGCATAATTCGGATGTACAAACATGGCGGACAATACCTGTGGTAACAGTACCTGTACTAGGCGGAGAGGTGTTCATTCGGGGCATTTCACAACATTCACACTTATTCAGAGCTGGATGGTTAAGAAAGGTACAGGCTGAGCAATTCCAGGGTTCGCCGTCGCCGTCCGAGTCCTGCTGGGGCTGGGGTGGGGGCGCCGGCGGTATCAAGGCAGTGGTTGGCGTGGTGATCGGCGTCCGGGGAGGAATAGGAGGTGGTGCTGAAAGAAGCAACCGCAAGTTTTGTTTTTACAAAAATAATACGAGAAACATTTTAGAATCAATTTTCTGTGGTGCCATTATCATGAATTATCACGTAAAATAAATCCTTTAAGATACAGCACAAAATTTTTTCCTAAAGAAAAAATTAAATATTTTTAAAATAAATATCCTTTGACATTTGCACATTAGTTGGGGGTGACAGGTACAGGTACATGTACTTACTTTCTCGTGAAGGGGTCTGAGGGGGAGGTCTGGAATAAATGGATCCCTGGGGGCCAGTATTCATGTTGTTATAAAAGTTTTGTTGTTCTAGTGGGTCTAATACACCAAGTGGAGCTAAAATAACAAAAACAGTCATTAATTTTTTTTGCTTTCAACAGAAATTTACAAAGTAGTAAATCCTTCAAATATGAAATTTTCTGAATATTTTTCAATGTTTTACATGAAAATATACAAACAATTAACGTTATAACAAAAGTTTGATATCAACATCAAAATTCACTTCTGTGTTTACACAAAGATGT